TACGTTTGCAGGATTCTCGCAAAGTGGTGTTTGTGGTGTTAACCTCTGGTTCTTTCGCATATGTCAATACTCTCCTCTCTCTAACTGCCCCGTCATATGGGAGTAATTTCTGGTCGTTTATTTCCAAAAAAAAAAAACAGATATGTATATAACTGATAAGCAGTTTTTCTAATCACGTGCGGGCTAATTAATGACATGCTCTGGAAGCCAGATGATTGGGTGACATATCGCTAGCAGGGAATATGTCGATGCTCGTTAGAATGTGTTGGTAAGCAAGAAGTTTGCGCAACCATATGAACGTGGGTGAAAAATGATTCAGTCCACACCTCTACATAATCGATGGTACCAATTTTTCCACGAAAATCATTGTTTTTTCTTGCTCTCTTAACCTACTTATTCAATTTCGAATAACATTATTGCAGCCAGTAATAGACAGTGATTGATCCAGCCACAGTAACATTAACAGTAGCAGTAATAAAAAGACACCACTTCCTGCTTATTTTATAGTTACGCTAATTTTAGAATTTCTCTACAGGTTGGCTGTATTAAGGTGTGCCAAGGCAAGGACCAACAAAGCCTGTGACTGAAGAGACTGTAACTGAACGAACAGAGCTGTTGAAACATAACGCTTCTGATAACGAACCTGCGGATGTTGCCGTTACCAACGCTGACGTTTCACAACATCAAGAACAACATGAAACAGAACAAGTTGCACAACAGGACGTTGCTGAAACAGCTGATGAAAACACAGATGTATGTTAACTAGTTATATTTGACTCACTCACACTGCCTGTTTTGAATACCCTTAATGTGATTTTTCTGTATATTCTTTTTGGTATGCTGTGCTCTTCAACTAACTGGATCATCTTTTGAGTGTCTTTCATCTATGTCCGCTTCTGAAACTCCTATCTATTCCTGCTCAACTTTCATTTCCATAATTTCTCTTTAATTTTTGTCTAAATCAAAGAAATAGTAAGCGCTCGGGAACATACACTAGTCAGGCTTCGCTTGAGGACTTTCTGCTTCTTTGCGCACGAAAATAAACCTAGCGAGTGAGCAACAAGGGGTACGAAAAATTTTAAGACAACACAAGCAAAAGCTGCATCGTTTTTGATAATCTGCTTCTGTGTAATCTCTTCATATAATTTCTTTCTATATCTACGAGGAGAATACGCAGAAGAGCCTTCTTACTTTTATTGATGTTCACGATTTAGCAAGATCTTCTATTATATGATATGATATTGATATAAGGTCCACAATTTTTGAGTCATCTCACGTTTTTCTTTAAGCAGGGGCTTTTCCCAATCCCCTATCCGTCATGCTTGCTATTAGCTAGGTTGTCGCTGTGAGAAAAGAAGGTCACACTTTTTCAATTCTTTCCTGTTTTGATTATCTTTACTTTCATAGTTTTCCCTTTCGTTTCTTTTTGGGTAGGAAGTAGTAAAATTAAGTGGATTTACATTTCGCAGCAACCTTTATG